AGGAGCAATGCTGGGCCAAGAACACCCTGCCCATACAGCTATGCAGCATGTTCCAAATGGAGGGCCAGCCTACAATGGGCATCTGGAAGTCAAGCTGGAGAGCCTGAAGGAGAGGCTGCCTGCAGGAAGGAAGCCAGATAATACCTTTTGGTATTTGATAGAGGAATTTAGAGAGGAAAGTCTGAGCAGGAAGCCAGGCATCTGACCTCTTTTTCTTTCCCCTTCTCCCTGACAAGGGGGAATAAACGGACACTGAAAGTATGTTTACACTGCACTAAGACACCTGAATTGGCCTCTGTCAGCTGACTCTATTGGGGTTTGGAGCTAAGGGGATGTTTAATTGCAGCAAAGATGTTGGGATTTGGACCGGAACCCATGCTATAGGACCCTGCCAGGTGACAGAGTCCCAGAGATAGGGCTGCAGACCAAGTCTGAAACTCTGCACTCCAATTCCATAGCCCTTTAATCCATGCCCAGCTGACTTGGGCATGGAGCAGTCATGGATGTCTAACTGCAATCTAAATATATATTACAAAAACTTGACTACATGAATCACTGAGTCTATTTGAACCACTTTCTGCGAGGAGGGAAGCAGGCTGCTCTGACTATGCCCCAAATTGGAGAAAGGGGTAGAAGTGGCTGAGGGAGGCTGGTATGGGCTGCCAGCTAAAGGGGATGGGAAACACCCTGCACCTCTGTCTGGTACCTTTGGGCCAGGACTCAGTAGAGTGGGAGGGTCTGAGTTCCCCTACCCTTCCCTCTGCCATAATCCAACTGGGGGGCAATACAGAGTGGAACATTAACTTGGCCACCAGATGCCCTGACAAAGCTGCCACCCTTGGAGATCACTGAGCTTCAGCCCACCTACTAGTCTTGCTGGCCATTAAGTGACTCCGCTACAGAGCCTCACAAGAAGAGCTCCTCACCTGCGTAGGTTATATCAACAGTATTGAGCTTACGGCATCCCCATTTTAAAATATGGAATATCTACACAGTCGGAACAGTCCCTCAAATGAGAATGAGCTTTGAGGCCCTTCTTCAGAAAAAAAATACATAAGCATGTGCTTAGAGCTCTTTGCTGAATCAAGTCCAAAGAGCAGCCACTGTACATACCTCATTTGCACAATATAGCAGGGCCAGAATTAAGAGGCAAAGCCGTTTCGGATGTATGCTTCAACTGCATTAATTTCTAATACCTACAAGAGCTATTGGTTCCTTCTAAATGTAACTATGCAAAAACATGTATGTTCAACTTGGCTGGGAACTGACTGCTCCTACCTCTCAATTTTCACTGTTTTATTAAAAAGTGGGGATTGAAGAAAAGCAATCGAGCCTGTCTATACATCTATATTTCACAATATACAGACTAACGCCATGAGACAAAGAAGGTCTCAATTATTTTCTAAATGCTTGGAAAACAAAATTTCCTTATTAGGATACTGATGAAATAGACGGTTTTGTCATCAGAGGAAAATGTAGCCTTACAATTTCAGGATTAGAATACAGAATGGAGCATTCTCCAGATGCCAAGCTTTTAATTCTCTGGTCATACACAATAAGGTCTTCTCTGTTCAAGACCTTTGTACCTCCCCCCCCCCCAAAAAAAAACTTAATAGCTTCCATTTTCTGTTGCCCAAAGAAGCTGTATTCTGAAAGCTTGGGTGTACTTATGCTGAAAAGAAGCAAGATATAAAAGACTCCTCATTAATCATCAGTGTTAGGGAAAGTAATACTAGGCATGATAAATAGAGTTGGGCACACAGAAACACTGACTTAGAACTGCCTCTGAAAAACATTAGATAACGGTTACAGCTGTATGGGAAGCACACAGTCCTTGCTCATAGCCTACCACAGTAGGTGTATGTCTGTGTCCTCACTGGATTTGAAGAAGAATGGAAAAGAGGATGGATAAAGGATAGCTGAAACAAAAACACACTGAAAAATTGAAAGGAAACCAGTTGTATCAATGTGCTTCCTATAAACACAAAGAGATAGACAGACACACACTATTCTAATTCAGGTTTTGCTGGCCATTTTAAATCCAGCCTATGTCTTAAAACAGATAGCATACGTGTCCAGAAGACGAATATTCACCTGAGCAGGAAAACATAGAACCGATTCAACAGAGCAGATCATACATTTTTAACCTCATAGCACGGCAGGAAAATGCTTTAAACCTGTCGCAAGTCAATGAGAAATCTTCCCCACTGGTAAGCACAATAGCAGCCATCCATTTCAATAGAAGTTTATCAGCAGTGAAACCTGACCGAGATAAATGACGAAGCTTTTGAGCCGCAGCCTGCTTCTGCCTGCTGCAGGCTGCCAGATAAAATGGGAACAAAAGCTCCCTGCTGCACCCCCTACCAGTCTCCATTAACCCCTGCTGATGTTTTATTATCGTCTGGGGGCTCCAGAACTGCGTAGCATGAATCAATGCATAAAAATAAATAATAAAGCAAATATGTGGCACAAACAAACCAGAAATCTGGCTTGCAAAGGACACTGACTTCTTTAGTGATGCAATAAGATTACTATTTGAGTAATGTCACTCACTGAAAACAAAAAATGCAACCACTATTTAATGATTCTGCATGGAAAAGCTGCTTGTATACAATAACGAATAAGCACACAGAAATATCTTTTTGTTGTTGTCCATACACACATTCACAAGGTCATTATCAAGCCAGGAGAAGGCTCAGTTTTCTTGACTGCTAGTTCCAAGTTCTATCACTACAGCATGCATAAGGCCCTTCCTTTTCTGGTTTAATTTTTTAAGGAACGGGCATTTATCAGTATTTATTCTACATTTTTTATGTGAGTGAAAAATAATTAAAAATAAAAAATTAAGGGCAATGGATACATAGGGCAGCAGCATCACATTTTTTCAAAAGGCAAAAAAAACCAGGACACTTGCAAGCATCCCGTTCCTTCTGTGGCTCTGTCCCCTTGCTGCTCTTCTTCCCAAATACCCACCCTATGCCCCTTTCCTTTTCCTGAGGTCCTACCCCTGGCTTGGCTAGAAGTTAGAGCCTGGTAGTGGTAAGAGCTACCTAGGGAGTCCAGGCTGCTATGGGGTGAGTACCTCAGATCCTCCCTCTTCCCTGAGCCAGGGAGTGGGGGCATGGAAGCAACAACTGGCTCCGCCCGTGTCTCAGCGTCTCTAGGGAAGGTAAAGCATCTGGGATTCCAGAGCTCCTCACAACAGCCCAGTCTCCTTGAGCAGTTCTTACCACTGCCCACCATGCCTAGCTCCACCCAGAGCCTCGGGGGCGGGGGGTGGGGGGAGAAGAAGCAGCATCTTGTGGCAAGTAGGGATGTAAAAAAGGTTTAAAAACAGTAACTGCAACCGTTAACAATTTTAGCGGGTACACAGTTAATCTATTCAGGGATGTACGGCTGGGGGGGGACTACGGAGGGAAGGATGGCGACGAGTGCCCCTGCGGCTCCCGGAGAGCTAGCTGCCTGGCGCTATGGGCTCTGCAGTAGAGCCAGCAGGCTTCCGGCTGCCTGAGGAATCTGCTGCCATCCCACACTGTGGCGGGTGGGTCAGTACTAAAACTGGTGAAAATTGGTAAAACCCAAATACAGTAAAATTCTGATAGTCCGGCATCCAGTGGTCCGGCACTCTTGATGCTGAACTATCAGCTGAAACCCGGAAGTGCTCCGGCCAGCCGGACAATTGGAGCTGCTCTGCCCCCGGCTTCCCCAAGTCCACTGCTGTTCAGTTTCAGCAGCGGCTGACGTGGGCAAGTCGGGGGCAGAGCAGCTGGGGTGCTGCCGGGTTGGTCCCTAACCCTCTCCCACACTGCACAGTTCCCTGCTGACCCTCACCTCCACCCCAGACCCCTCATAGCCCCCCTTCTGGTACTCCGGCATATCTGATAATCTGGCACCTTATGGTTCTGGATTATCGGAAGTTTACTGTACTTGACTTTTTCAAAGACTATTTTAAAAAAATCAATAAAATACTGAAAACAGGCCAGGCAGGATCTCAAATTAAGTTTAATTTAATTCTGAACTCTTTTTTTCCTCCCTTCAAGGATAAAATCTTATACTAAGGCAAAACAAAAAGTGAACTGTTTGTTTTTTAAAACAGCAGAGATCTAGTAGTAATCTTCTTAGCACAATACCAAATATCATTATTACCTAAATGGTATATCAGTTGTTTACAATCTCAAAGGCTGGTATACAGCCGCTCCCCGAGTTACGACCACCTCCACTTACGACCATCTGCACTTACGACCAGAGCGGTCGTAAATGCGAATCCTAGTTATGAATGGCGATCCGCACTTACGAACAGTGTGGTCACCATGTAACTCTATGGGATCCGAGTTTCAAACACTTCGAGTTACGGACCAAGTGTTGGTCCGTAACTTGTTCGTAACTCGGGGAGCGGCTGTACTACTAACAATGAGAGATCAAATTTGGCCCAAAATTGAAATTTATAAAAACTGGCCTACGGCAAATAGAAGTGTTTCTTGTCCTCTCCCTTTCCATCATTTCCATCACTTTTCTCCCAACAAGGTTGTGCTGAGCACATAAGAACTTGGAAATAAAACAGACTATAAATATGTGAAAATGACTAATTTATTTTAAAACGGTCTGAATTGAAAAAAAACCCACAAATAATAAAATGCACATGCATTTATGTAATTTTCTCCCAATGTGTTATTGCCAACGTTATTTTCTAAACATATGTCCTTTTTAACAAATCTTCCCCAATAGCCACCCATTGCCACTCCCCAAAGCTATTACGTGGTTATTATTTTTCCCATTTCATAGACAGAAATAGAAAAAGAGCAGTGAAATGACCTGGCCCAGGACCACAGAGAAAGTCACTGGGATTAAAATTCAGGAGTTCTTGTTATCAAAGTAAATCCTTCACAGCCATTCTGCCTCATAGCAAAATATATCAGTGTCTATATATGTAGAAAAATGGAAGTTGCTCTATTGTCTTAACTATGTAGAATTAATTAAAAGTGTAAATGCAATTAACAAACCTCAATTTTGTCTGTTTTTGCATCTCCCCAATATATTTTGTTTTCTGCATAATCCAGGGCCAGTCCATTTGGCCAGCCAAGCGAAGTATTCACCAGCACAACTCTGTCTGACCCATCCAATGCAGCCCTCTCAATCTTTGGAATTTCTCCCCAGTCAGTCCAATACATGTATCTGTAATGGAGAGCAGAAGAGAAGTTTACAAATACTTTAAAACTGATTCCTTCAGTCTTCATGCTGCTCATTGCTCACACTACTGAACCAAAACTGTGTGATTAGAAGTCATACGTACAGACCAAGACATTTCTAAACCAAATTAACATGATTTCTATTGCTGATGTAGTCAAATTCAACCTGTGCAGTATGTCCTCAGTGGTGCGTGTACGTGTAAATGTAACAATCCACTGCAATCCTCATAAATGTATAACCATTTTAAATGAGTCTGAATTAATAGCCAGTTCTACTTAGTTATCCAAATCTGGAAACACGGGCAAAGACGAGAAAGAAATAGAGAACCCATCACTTGTCTTAGCCAAATGTAGAAGTTTTGGTAACTTTCAGATAACACAATTTTTTAAATTTTAAACAAAAAGAGTATGGAATATTCATGTTCCACTATCTGCACACATGTACAATATATATAAGCATCAGTTCCTATTTTAAAATGCTTTTCTTGTATTTTACATTTGGGGAGAGGACTATTTAAAATCTTTCAGCAAGACATCTACAAACACAAACTTAAACCAAAACTGACACACTGTTCACCAATAATTTATTTAGTAACTTTTGAGAGACTGCACAATGAGAAACAGAAAAAGAATAGGAGGAAAAGATTTTTTTAAAGTAATAAATTTTTGCTTTGGAATCATAAGACCTCCCGCAAATCAAGTGGTAATAGCAATCACTTGTTCTTAAATTTTCACATGACTGCATTGCCCAAATCATGTTAGTTAAAATCCAGGTCCGTGAAAGTTTGATAGAACAATAAAAAATGGTATTATTTATATGTTTGAATACAGACAGGCCTGTACTTCACTGGAAAGATCACTAGGATTTTCTGTTTGCCTTTTAAAAAGACACAGGCTACGTCTAGTCTGCAAGCCTCTTTCGAAAAAGAGCATCTAGACTGCAACCAATACTTTCGAAAAAGCAAGCCACTTTTTCAAAAGAGAGCACCCAGGCAGTCTGGATGCTCTTTTGAAAAAGCACAGTTTGCATTACCTACCACCTTTTTTCAAAAGAGCACTTTCGAAAAAAGGCATTATTCCTCGTAAAACAAGATTTTCCACGGTCGAAAAAACTGCCGCGTTCTTTCAATTTACTGTTACAGAACGCGGCAGCAGTCTAGATGCAGGGGAAATTTTTTCGAAAAAAGGCTACTTTAAAAAAAAAAAAACCATGTAGTCTAGATACACCCACAGTGTATTTGGCAACAGTGTGCTGCAATAAATCTCTGCCAGTATTGAAGGGTCCACATTACGTTTCTGAATGATACAAGCTTCTAAAACATTTATAAACAGTTCCTTACCCAACCATGGGATCCAATACAATTGCTCTTGGTTCTTCCAAGTCTTCTGATATCAAGATCTTTCTCATAGTCCCGTTAAGTCTTGTCACCTCTATGCGGTCTGTGCCGGTGTCAGTCCAATAAAGGTTTCGGGCAACCCAATCCACAGCAATGCCATCAGGATGAGCAATCTGTGCTGTGACAACGAACTGACTCTCTGATCCATCTATGAAAGAGCGGCGAATGGCCCTCACCTCATCATCAGTCCAATAGATGTATCCTTCCACAGGATCATAATCAATAGCAATGGCATGACGGATATCTTCCAGCTGCAAGACAATGTCTGTAAAATCAACGGTATCCAAGGAAATCCGCCGCAAGTCTGTCCTGCGAGCTAGGAGCAGTAACTCAGTGGCACCTGAATAAACCAAAATCAAACAAAAATGATCCTTAACACAAAAGTCCTACACAATAAATATGTAGATTCTGAGCAAGATTCTCAGTTGATACATATTAATGTGGCCCCACTGACTTCAGTGATGCATTCAGATTGATTTGCACCTCTTGAGAATCTGGCTCAAAGTTCTTCAGTGTTACTTTTGTATCCAATGCTAAATTATTCCCAAGAAATGTGAGGTTACTTGCTGTAGAAACAGGCTATTAAAATCTGCATCACATTAAGTAAGTCTTGATGAATAGTGCACTTTTGGTTCAACTTAAATTGTACACATTATGCAATTTTCCCTAAGTTTTATATATTACTAGCAGGCTGTGCCCCATGCTCGCTACGCATGCCAACCCCTCTCTCTCTCTGGCCCCTTTCACTTTTGTGGCCATCACCCTCAGGAAAAATTTTCTATATACAGAGACACACAATAGGTTATATTTATGTAGGCTTTCACAAAATTATATTTTTATATGTAATTTCAAGTGTTTAAAACCTGTTCATTTTTAAGACTGTTATTAATTTATACTTTTTAAGTTGTGGAAAATTATGGGAGAGTCAGATAATTAGTTAGTGATAAATACTGAGATTCAAAAAATAAAACTGATGCAATTCAAATTGTCAATATCACATGTTAAAATCACAATATCACAAGATAAATATCCTTAAACTAATTAATGGAAAGCAGCATTTTTTTTCTGTTTATCTGTAAATTTCAGTTACAAAAGGAAATATTTTTCATTGGTGTGTGGATACGGTTAATGCAAACATTTCCCGATATTTATCAATGAAAGTTGAATCTCTGTGTGTGTAATATGTGCATGTCAAATGAAAGCACAGAAAGCAAATCAACAAATCTGTTGTGACTGGAGTCAAGAGTGGGCTGAACTCTCCTAGGTAAAGTATCTGGTGGAATAGGGAAAAACTTCTAATTAAAAAAATGTGTGTTTAAACAGTGAAATGCCTATGAAACCAGAAGCTAACACAAAACAATGAGAATGACCTCCCATGAAAAATTCTTGCGTCAATCAGTCTGGCTTGTTTAACAGGGGGAAATGCATCATATTTCTGGGTCTGACTCATATGAAGCTGGATTAACTCTTCATTAACACCACTAATGAAAGAAATCTATATGAAGATGAGAAGACTACTACTGCACAAGCTTACAAACTCATGCTGCAATAAAGTGTATTGGTGATGCCTTTAGATTTACAGAGGGGAAAAAAAATCTGTTCACTAATGCCGTAGATGGTATTTTGATAGAACACAGCATAAGCTGTCCACCTTGTCATGAGTTTGACATTGTACTTGAACTAGGGATGTAATAGTGTAATCCATTAACTGATTATATGATAAGCAAAAACTTGTAGGTTACTACTATAGACTACATGCATTCCCCCCACCACCATCCTTGGACAGGGGCTGCTGCCACCCTGCGCTGCTGCCTCTGATACAGAGGCAGCAGCAGCACAGGACGACAGGCAACTGATCTGTGAGGGGAGCTGGTTTTTGAACAGGTTCTCCTCACAGACCAGCTCCCGCCTGGCACCCTGCATGGAGTGGCAGGGGATTTCTTGGAAGTGGATCTGAAATGCATTGGCTGCCGGCCACTTCCCCAGGGACTATAGAATAGTCGACTTACTGATAAGAACTCATGAGGTAACTCGCCTATTCAATTAACCAATATTTAATATCCCTAATTTGAATAGATTTTTATTTTCAATTATAACTTATTTTGTGGGATTTTAAATATTTTCTATCTATTTGGTAAAGAGTCACTGGATGGGTTATGGGGGATTGCAAGCAGAGCTGGGTTTAGGGGGCAGAGAGCAGAGCAGTTGTTTGGGAGACCCAGAAACTAATGAACATGTTTCAGGCCCAAGTGGCTGCTTAAGTAAGAAGCCCCAAGCTTAAGGTAGGGGGCCACACATTTTTCTAGAGGAGACAGGGATGCGGATGTCACACTATTTTTTTTTTAAGTCCAAAGAGTGTTGCCACCACAAAAAATATTGAAAAATTCTGCTAAAGAAGATGGTGATTTTTAACAAGTGAAGTTTAGAGCATTAAAATAAGTGTTCTTCCTTAGGAATGGACTAAAAAGATTGGTATGATTCTCCACCTCAAGCCATCTCTTTCTCATTTAGAAATACAGGTCTACATTTTAAAGCTATTTATCCAGTGAAAAACTCTTTTATGCATTATCCAATGCAGGTTTTCCCCCATCCCACAGCTATATTTTTATGCATTCCTTGAACTTTAACATGCATCTTTAAAGAAAACCAGACACGGATGATTACCAGGGTATGCGACACAGCAACTGAACGCTTGTGGCTGTTCATGTCTGCTGACTCAGGCTCAGTCTGTGAGGCAGCGTAGGTGTCCAGACCCAGACAGAAGCCCAGGCTCTGGCTGGGACCTGCTCCTGTCACAGGATCTAGAGACCAGGCTCCAGCCTAAGCCCAAACATCTGCAATTAAACAGCCTGAGTCCAAGTCAGCCAGCACAAGCCAGCGGTGCGTGTTTTACCTGCTGTGTAGACATACACTAGCAGCCCCATGGTTACAAAAGACCACAACAAAGCAAGCAACCTTACCACAAAAGCCTGTTAACATACCATTGCCACAAAATACACAAATACCTTAATTCAAAGTCAAGGTCAAAACACACACTGAATTCTTATATACACAGTAACAGAGTCACAAGTAATCAATTTGCCACCAACTACCTTAATTATTCATAGTCATTTTACAAAAGATTCTCCTATACATCCTCCCCAAAAACCTACATCCTCTTTTATCCATACTTCCATTTGATCTTAATTGTAGAAAAAAATATTATCTTGGAATAATAATTAATCTTTACCGTCATCTACTACAGTTAAAATGGTAGGAATACACTACCATCAGATTTGCAGATAACCAAAATACATCATATGAAGAATTTCAGATATCAGTAATCAGTATTCAGATAACTGATCATCTGAAGAAGTGGGCTGTGCCCACGAAAACTCATGATACCATCTACATGTTTTGTTAGTCTATAAAGTGCTACCAGACCATTTGTTGTTTTTTTCCTGTAACAGACTAACTCTGCTACCCCCTGAAGCTCCAGTAATTTTAATGTGTAACTTTCAAAAATGTTCTTGCACATGGCTGATGGTTATGATAATTTCAAAGAACTATTGCCAGTATGCAGAATGCTGCTGGGGACTCTTGTGCAAGGTTTCATCAAGGTCAATGAATAGAAGCCAATATTTTAAGTTTTTCCATGTTGACCTGGTTAACATCAATTTAATTTCCATTTAAAAAGTATTTCATTTAACTATTTTAGTTAAAAAAACTTTTAACAAAAATAAACTTAATTTTAAACAAACTTGAATATTTAAATAAATTCAAAAATTCATATGATTGTTTTGTTAAAATATTATACGTTTGCTAGTGAAGAAAAAATCCAGAATACATAATATTGTGGTTTTAGTTCAGTAAAACAATTTGAAAAGTCTGTCATATGATGTTCTCCTTCTAATACAGGATGGCAAAAAAAATCCTTCAAATAATAATGATTAACCTCTTGAACTGGAGATAGTTCACCTCCCAATGACTTCATAGATATCTGCTTCAATTATCTTTGGTAAATGAAATAACCAAACAATCATTCATTTTCCGATATGGCTGTAAAACCAATCTGAAGTTTTCAAAATAAATCACTGTTTAAAAATGCATAGTGTGTATCTTCTAAAAATGAAACTTACATTTAGCTCTAATGTGCTGCAGAACTATTTGTTGTTTTTTAAGATCTATCTCTGAGTTATGACAATCAACAAGACTGCACTTTTATGCAGAAACCCATGATTAAATCGAGTCTTCCTGACTAGTGATTTAAATCATGATTTAAATCAAATCCACCCTGGCTAGGTCTATGAAAGAATTAACTGTTGGCCTAGCTATTTGCCTTTCAGGGAGGTGGATTACCAACACCAATGGGAGAACCCCCTCCTGTTAGCATAGGTAATGTCTTCTATTAAAATGCTGCAGTGGTGCTGCTATAGACATTGCAATGTGTCACTCTACCATTTAACATGTCTCTAGGACCTGTGTCTTTAAGAGAAGAGTGGGCAATAATTTTTGAAGGGAGCCACTTCATGAATTTCATAAGTGGTCACAGGCCACTTCAGAAGGAGGCGTGGCCTAAGGCAGAAGGTGGCAGGCCCAGGAGACTTCATGTGCTTCCCACCCACAGACCCCGATTGGCCTGGGGGTGGGGGAGCATGTGAAGTCTTTGCCCCCCCCCCCTGACCTGCCAGTGGTGTGCATCACCTAGAGACATCTGCCAGCTCTTTTGCATAATTGGTGGTTCCCTCTGGTTCCTCACGCCCCTGGTGGGGGGGGGGGGCTTCCCCAACCCCAGGTGTCGATTGGCCTGGGGGCAGTGGATCAAAGGCTTGGAGGGCTGCATCTGGCCCACAGACGCAACTTGCCTGCCCCTGGAGTACACGGTCCGGGAGGAAGTCGTAACCTGGGGCAGGAGTGCAAGAGAGAATGCAGGGTGTGGGAGGGGTTGTAGTTTCTAGGAAGATGTATAGGGGTTGAAGCAGGGGTGCAAGGTTTGGGTTACACAGAGTAGGGGTACAGAAGGAGGGTCAAAGAGTTAGGGAAGGAAGGGGCTGAGGCACCAGAAGTAGGCTTTGGCTGGCTCCCAGCCAGCAGCCCAGCAAGTTCCTTAGCCAGGATCCCTGCCTTCCATGCCCCTGTACTGCTCACTGCAGCTACAGAGGCCATGTGCTGCAAACACGGTGAGCTTGGTGGGGGTTGGGGGGGAGGGGACCACGAAGGGGAAGAGGAACTTCACATTCTGTCTGTCCTGCAAATAGGCAGCTGCTACTTGCTGGAAACTGACCAATGGGAACTACTGGGGGCAGGAGCAGTGTGAGAAACCTCTGCCTCTTTACCCGGGCTCTCAACATTCACAGAAGC